ATCACATCATATAGCCCACGGCAAAGCAGCGAACATGCCGCAGAACATGTCGAATGACGGCGGTAGTTTATCACCGCAGATTGTGTCGTCACCCAGTACTCCTCACGAATGAACCACGAACACGGCGCACATACAAATCACAAGCGCTGTTTGCAGCGATCGAACACTTTAGACGACAAGTACGTGTCATCCGAAGATGACACGTGCAGATGTTGACGTTCCGGTTTCCAAGTGAAAGCGAACGATGGCACGAAACACACGAAATCGTCGGTCTCCGAACCTCGCGTAAACACAACTCTCCGTCGGGTTCCATCGGCGATCGCAGCCAGTGACGAGAGCAGGAAGGTTGCGCCGGCTTGCTGCCTTTCGATAAAAATATGCGCGGATGCTCATGAACTCTAGTGGTAATTGCAGTAACGCCTAAACAAGCTTTTTTTACGGCTACCGACTAGGCCTTGCCACTCTCTTCGTCGCTTCAGCCAGAGTGTACTAGAACAAGAGGAGTGCTCGGACCAAGCTCCAAAAAGTGAAGCCCAAAGAGGATTGATCCGCTGGTGGCACTGCGTTCGGTAGTGCGTTCGGTAGTGAACTTCTCGCCCTACTTTGTGGCTATAAAATTTGTTCGATAAGAATAGTTGTCGCAAATTTCGTCGTTGACCTGTCGTTCCAACGCACGGTTAATGCCGCAATGAATATAAACTTCACAATGCACGATTTCCTGTTCACCCATCAACATCTGAAATGAACACTTCTAGTGTTGCTCCGTCAGAATTAAAGCTTAATACGGTCGAGAAAGGCGATTCACCTCTTACTTTTATTCATTTAAATATTCAGTCAGCACGAGGCAAACAGGATGAATTATGTGTATTTCTGAGTGATTTCGGCTTCTAGTTTTCTGTAATCATGTTGACAGAAACGTGGTTTTCGGCTGACGATGACATGCACCTATAAGATTATAATGCAGTTTTCTTGAACAGCCCCATTAGAAGAGGTGGAGGCGTATGTATGTTTATTAAACAAGGTATTAATTATGAACTGCTTGATGAGCTGTCTTTATGTACGTCAGATATCGAGGTGATATGTTTGAAATGTGAGAAGTTTCATTTTGCGGGGGTGTACCGTCCACCTCATGGTAATTTAGGTGAGTTCTACGAGCGGCTGGACGCGATATTCTCTCATGTTAATACACATCAGTATAAATTAGTCCTAGGTGGCGACCTAAACATTGACATGCTTTCAAGTACACCAAAACAGTCTGAATTTTGTATGCTTCTTGATTCGTATTTGTTATCAAATGTGATACTGCAACCAACTCGCATTTCAGCAACTAGCGCTACGTTACTGGATCTTTTTATTACCAACTTACCACGTGAAAGTGTTTTCTGGGACAGTCAACATTATCGGCAAATGATCACTTAGTGATCATTTGCCGATATATTTGGTTATTGATAAGTGCCGTGTCGTATCAAACCCAACCTACAAATTTTGGTGCCAGAATATAACTGAAAACTCTCTTTCGCAGTTAAGAGATGAAATCTCCAGAACAAATTGGGAAGCAGTGCTCTTGTGCTCATCAGCAAACGCAGCATACGGCAGTTTTATGGAGATAATTTCCCGTATTTACAAGCGATGTTTTCCCTACAAAGAAATAAAAAAGTTTAAACGTTCGCGGAAACCATGGGGCACAAAGAACCTGATAAAAATGATAAATGTGAAAAATAGCAAGTATCAAATATTTTTGAAGAATCGCAATCCAGGCGCATTGGATTCCTTTCGGAAATATAGAAATAATAAACTAAAGTTAGGGAAAAAGCGAAATGCAATTATTATTCTTGCATGTTCGAGAGCGTCTCAGGGGTCAAGGAGATGTGGAGCAAGTCAAATTCAATTACTGCATTACATAAAGGTAATTTTAGTGTAGAAGAGATAACTGAAGGCGATCGAACATACAGGGGCAAAGCATTGGCAGAGAAATTCAATAAACACCTCACTTCCTTAGTAGATAGTGTCAGTGACACTACCGCCCTACATTACATGTCCGCACAGACAGTAGCTTCATCAGTTTATCTTTCCACAACAGATGAATACGAGGTTATGGGTGTTAAAAAAACTAAAGAAAAGTAAATCGGAAGATATTGATGGGTTAAAGATGGCCCCAGTCTATCCTGTCATAGATATATTAGTCATGCGCTTAACATACATTTATAACCTAATTTTAGGCACAGGTATTTTCCCAGAACGTATGAAGTATGCAAAAGTTACAGTGCTGTTTAAGGGAGGAAACAAAGATGATTTGAAGAACTATAGGTTCATATCTGTTCTACCATTGTTCTCAAAGCCCATAGAAAAGTTAATATTTATAAGACTGTCGACCTTCTTTAAAAACATTCGATAATTACTCAAGCCCAATACGTTTTTAGGTTAGGGCTGTTAGGTTAGGGTTACCTTGTTACGTCAAAAGGAAATTATATTAGGTAATATAAAGGACAGAAAAATTACGCTAGGCATATTTGTTGACTTCTCCAAAGCCTTTGACCGGATAAATCACTATACCCTCTTACAAAAATTGCCCTATTATGGCATTAGAGGAAATGTGCTAAACTGAATCACCAGCTATTTGAGCAATAGACTAGAGTGTGTAAGTATAAACACATAACAATCATCTTTGCAAAAACTTTCTCAAGGTGTACCCCAACGTAGTATATTGGGGCCGTTACTTTTTATCACTTATGTCAACGATATTATAAACACAAATCACACAAATAAATATGTCATATATGCGGATGACACTTCCTTGTTTTTCACAGGTGTGGATGTAAATGACCTAATTTCAGCAGCAAACACGACACTAGATGACTTGTATGCATGGGCGACAGCTAACTCCCTACAAATAAACTGTCCAAAAACCAAAGCCGTCCTATTTCGTTCAAAAGAAACAACGTACGAAACTACTTCAAAACTACACCTGCACGATTTTGTGATTGATTTTTCTTTGACCGCTAAAGCATTGGGAATTGTTTTTCATGAGAATATGTTGTGAGATTCACAAACCGAAATGGTAAGAAACAAGTTAAGTAAGGTACTAGGCATGGTTAGGCGATGCCAGTCATTTTTACCGACTACTCAGATGCTAATGATATACAACACGCTTTTTTCTTCCCAGTTACGCTACGCTCTTTTGGTGTGGGGTACTGGCGCCTTGCACTCTAAGCAGAAATTACTCACACTACAAAAAAAATGCATTACGTTCTATTGCAAATGCGGAATATAATACACATACCTTGTCTTTATTCAACAATTTCAGAGTCATAAGATTTGACAACATGTATGAATATTGTTTACTAGCGTCTTTAAAAACTGAAATTAACAAAGGAAGTAACAATCTTATCTCCATAGCACGCTTAGAGCGCAGCACCTTGTGTCGACCTACTATACAGAGTGATTATTAGAAGGTTCCTCGATGCCGAACAAACTATGGCCTACAAATGCTGAAACATTCCCTCCCCCACATACTAAATAAATTCAATTTATCATTGGAACAATTGTGCCTTCTTTCGCGACAGGATATGTCGAATATTTCTTTACTTTCATGACGCAAGAGAGATTTAGCCATTTCCAAATATTTGTGTTTATGTTCTGCTTATTTCTATTTTTTCGTATTTCCTTAAAGAGTGCGATCCTAACAACATTTCTTAAAATTTTATGTTTGTAATATTTCTTATTGGTGCCACTTTAAACTATGTAGTTGTGTCTGTTTAGCTGTTTCCAGGACTTTATGAATGCTGTCACTTTTTCTGCCTTGTATTGATGGGATGTGGGGCTAGTCAAGCTGCGTTTTTATCGCAGCTTTTTTCCCGCATTCCACACCACACATTGTATTGTGCAACACGGTGGTGAAATACACTTCAAATAAACTTCAAACTTCAAACTTCCGAGCTGTGCGGACGTGTTTTCGCGCGCTCCACCTGTTTGGCGAATTCAAAGTCGTGCAAGGTTGTGCAAGGCTGGTTGGTGCAGAAGCAGCGCGCAACGAGAGATAAGTTTCTCTTCATTTCTTTGTGTTTGTGTAACCATTATTATACTTTCTCTCCTAATAAATAATTAGCGTTGCGAGTATAGTAGGTGTGGGACACGGGCAACGTTGTAGTGACATTGACCTCGTGAACGGGCTAGGCGGCTGTTTTGAAGAAGGTCGGGGCGCCCGGTTAGTTGTTAAAGAGCTAGAGCCGAACACGAAGGGGACCTACTGAGAGGCTACTAGCGAAATTGAACACGTTGTGTGTAGTGTAGGCGGCAGCTTCAAACAGTTGTTGAGGTACGAGAGTTAACGGAGGCAGCTGGATAGCGGGATTAGGGTTGAACGTAGGCCTGTTGGACACTCGGTCCGATGGTCGCGCGGGTGACGGCTAAGGAGGCTAGGAAAACCACGAGCGAGAGTGAGCTGGTGCAGTGCAAAGAATGCAAGTGCTGGTGCTACTTAGATGAGACAGCATTCACGAGTTTGGCCGACGCGCAGAAGGCGAGCTTTGTGTGCAGGCTGTGCGAGGCACTGAAGGCGGCCGTGCAGCGCATGAAGGCTAGCATCAAGGGGCTTCAGGGGGAGCTTAGGGCGGAACGGGAGCAGAGGATAGAACTCCAAAAACAGCTCGGAGCATCGCGTGAGCGGGAGCAAGCTACCGCTAGCCTATTAGAGCAAATGAAGGGTGACCTTAGAAAAGAACGGGAAGTGCGGACCGAGCTAGATCGGCGGGTAAAGGAGCTAATGGCGCTTTGCCCCGGCCCCGAGCAGTGTGAGACTGAAGGCGTGGGTAGCGGAGAAGGCGACAGGCGGGAAGGGACAGGCGAGAAGGGAGGTCAGGGAGCCACAGTGTCTGGCCACAGCTCGGAGGCTCCGAGAACATACTGCTCGGTGACGCAGCAGTCTTCAAGCAGGGCAGAAACACAGGACAGACGGCAGAGAGAGAAACAGGTGAAGCAAACAGGGGTGCCATCACCAACAGGAAGCCAGCGATTGGAGCGTAGAAGGGTCCTGGTGGTGGGGGACTCTAACGTGGCCAGGGTTAGGGATGGCGTCTTCAAGACAGTGAAGGAAGATGGGAGAGTCAGGGTGGAGGCCCAGTCAGGGAAGAGCGTGGTGGATGCACTGGCCAAAGTTCAGGAGGTTGTACAGAACAGCATGGAGGGCGAAAATCTCGTCAATATTCATGCTGGGCTCAATGATGTGTTGAATGGCAAGGATCAGAACCTTCAAAGAAAGCTAGAGGATGGGATGCGTACGCTCCGAGAAACTTCTGGGAGTGTGCATGTGACCATATGCACAGTCCCAGAGGTCTGTAAGCAGCCTCGTGGGATTGAAAGGAAATTAGTGGAGGCCGATTGTGTGATCAAGGGTTTGAGCCGGCAACTCGGATACAGCGTAATGGAAGTTAACCAAGACGTGTACGAGCCCGGAGCTCGCCTCTTTGCACAAGATGGCATTCACTACAATGGTGTGATGGGAAGAAGGGTCGGTAACAGAATGGGTCGCCAAGCCACAGTTTTTTAGGGGGACCCAGAGCCCTGAGGTCAACAGTGTAGCCAAAGACGGACCTAAAGGGGCACAAATATTCAAGCCACACGAAGTCCGTGGGAGAAGAAATCGACGTAAGCACAAGGGCCGAGCTAAGTCAGACGTAGGCTATATTAACATGCAGGGTGGCAAGAATAGGTTTAAGTGGGAAGAGCTAGAAGAGCAGATGAGGCAGGAGGAGCTGATGGTTTATGGGGTTGTGTAGACACATCTTCGGGACATGGAGCAACCACCCTGCGATCCGGACTACGTATGGGAATATTGCAATAGAACAGAAGGCAGCAAAAAGGGCCGGGGGTGGAATTGGCGATTATACATAGGTGCGTGGGTTGGCAAAGAGTCAAGCAGGGATGCATGGAACATTTATGGTTAAGAGGGAAAGTAGCTGGGCAGATGAAACTCCTCGGTTTGGTGTACTTGTGGACGGGAGCAAAGGCCAGAGAATAAAACCAGGCAATGGTGGAGTGTATATGAAAGGACAAGGAGGAATTAGGAGGAGAGTGCGAGATAATTATACTAGGTGATATGAATGCGCACATAGAAGATATAGATGGGTATACTGACTCAACAGGCAAAATGATCATGGATATGCGTGAAAAGCATGATTTGATCATTTGCAACAGTACCGAGAAGTGTGAAGGGCAAATAACATGCGAGGTAGGAAGGCTGCAGTCAACGATAGATTACGCACTGATGTCACATAGGATGTATGATAAGCTCAGGGGAACGCACATAGATAAAGGTGGCTCCAGAAGTCTGGGTAGTGATCAGAAACGTATCAAGCTAAGTTTTGGAAGAGTAGCGAAAGTGGGAAGGAGACAAAATGAGCAACTACAGGAAAATTTTCATTCAGAAAGGCAAATAAAAATTGCTACTAAACAAATCGAGAAAGTAATCACTGAGAATAATAAAACTGTGTGGACATGCACAAATCTAATCAGACTGTTTGGGCTAGAGCTTGCTAAGGCACGTGAGAAGTCCCCCCGGAAAAGAAGACACAAACCCAAAACTTGGTGGGATGAGGAAGTTAAGAGAGCCATAGCAAAACGTCGGAAAGCCTCTAGGGAACACAGACATGCTAAGCAATGAGGTGAACTTACAGATGGTGTTGAAAGAAAATCGGAAATCTTTCTAAGCTCTAGAAGGAAAGCATCCCTCCTGATCAATGAAACTATTAGAAGAAAGGGTGCTCAGTGGCTGGCAGAAGTACATAAAAAGGACAGAAGGCATTTGCGAAATTTCGGAACCATATAAACTCCCTGAGAAATGAAACAAATTTAGAGCAGAAGTTTATAACTACAGCTCAAGGCGCTAGGCTAGAAGGGGACGAAGCTATTGAATATATAAGAACAAGGGTGACAGAAAACTTTCAACAAAGAAGTGCCTTATGCACCACAATAGACAGGAATGGATGAAGTGGCACAATGGCTCTAATTTCACAACGAGAGTGGGAAAGGGCTGAGAAGAGGGTTCGAAGTAGTACATCAACAGGCCCAGATGGCATTCCAATTATGCTGATAAAGACATTGTGTCAGAAGCCTGAACAGACTTTGAGAGAGACAGTGAGCAGAACTATAATCGATGGTGGAGTCCCTGATGGATGGATGAGCATGATTTATAAAGGAAGGGGGGACAAAGCTGACACAAACTACCGTCCTATAACAGTGACATCAGGGATCTACAGGCTGGCGATGCAGATTATAAAGGAAAGACTGCAGGCATGGATAGAGGATGAGGGGGTGCTGGGGAAACTGCAGAATGAGTTTCGGAAACACAGGAGTTTGGAAGACAATCTGTTCTCTCTGGCCCAGTGCATCAAAATAGCAAAAAAGGAACTTAGGCCCCTGTGGCTAGCATTTTTGGATATCAAGGGAGCGTACGATAGCGTGGTTCAAGAGGACTTGTGGAGACTACTAGACACACTGGGTGTGGAAGATAAAATGACTAATCTTTTAAAGGAATCTTTTAAATGAAAAGGTAGTTATAAAGTGGGAAAAACAGGTATCCAAGCCCACAGAGGTGAAACGGGGGCTTATGCAGGGGTGTCCATTGTCACCCTTGTTATTCATGATGTACCTACTGTACCGAAGCATAGTGGCGCCAGCTCTGTGCCAGCGTGAAAGAAGACGTTGACGTCCGTGTGGGGCTCGTGCTTGCCGGGTTCCTGCCTGTACCAGCTTGTTGCGGCTAACGTTTCTCGAATAATAACCTGTGTTTTTACGCAACCTTGCTCGTTCCATTTGGTGGAAACGTGCTGGGTAACGTCCTGGAGCTCCGCAGCTGTAAGCTACCATCTCAGTCCGCGATGACCGAGCGCGTCGATCCCCCACAAGGCTCTTCCACGCTGCCAACTGTCATGTGTTCTGGTGTACTTCGTCTGTGTGACCCACCAGTATACGACGGCAATGAAGAGCAAAATGTCGAAGACTGGCTGGCAGAGTACGAGCATGCCAGCGCGATTAACAAGTGGGATGACCCTGCAAAGCTGACTCACGTCATCTTCTACTTGACGGATTTGGCCAACCTATGGTTCACCAACCACCAAGCCGACATCCCCACCTGGTCGGTTTTCAAAGAGGCCGTCACCTCGTTTTTCGGTCGTCCAGCCATGCGTAAGCTTCGTGCTGAACTGGGACTGCGGGGACGTTTTCAGCGAAATAGTGAGAGCTTCACGAGCTACATTGAGGATGTGTTCAGCCTCTGTAGGCTAGTTGATGCCAGGATGACGGAGGCTGACAGAATAAAGAATATAATGAAATGCATTGATGACGACGCTTTTCATATGCTTGTGGCCAAAGACCCACAGACCGTCACGGCCGTGATTCAGCTATGTCAAAGTTTCGATGAGCTGCGCAAGCAACGAATTTCTACACGTCGCGCTAATACGCAAACAGCTGATATTTCGGCCTTGGAGTGCAAAAGCAGTGGCCCCGACTACAGCGTGTTAATGCCTCAAATTCAACAGTACATCCGGGAGGAAGTTGCTCGACAGCTCTCTCTTGTCGCCACCATCAACGAGACCCCCACAACACTGGACCACTCACTTCCTCGTGCTATTCAGACGCAAGTTGCCGAGGCTCTCTCTTCGCCCGCATCCCCAATATCAGTGGCTGCACCGCTGACTTATGCAGAAGCCGTCCGCCGACCTCCTGCCCAACCGCCGCTCCCTTCATACAGTCCAGCCACCAACTACTACAGGTCACCGGTTTCGGTTTATCCAGTAAATCGGCCCTTTCCACCACCTAGAGCACCTGTGAACTCTTGGCGTACTCCGGATAACCGGCCCGTCTGCTACAACTGTGGTATTCCAGGACATGTCGCGCGCTACTGTCGTCGCCGTGGATTCTATTTTAATGATGTTCAGCATTCCGGCAACATACCTCGGCAATCAGAATCGCATGTGACACCTGATTCACATGACCCCCGCTCACGTCGACCGGACTTCAGCCGACGTCGATCTCCTTCACCCCGTCTTCGGTCTCCTTCCCCCATGCTTCACCGTTCCAACCACGCCCAGGAGGAAAACTAACAGTCGCGGTTCCTGAGGCAAGAGCTGCGCCACCGATAAAATTTCCAAGGCCTCATCTTTCGCCCCCTAACGAGATTGCCGTGTTTGTGGACGGTTTCGCCACAACTGCTCTTGTCGACACAGGTGCCGCTCTTTGTATAATCAGTGAAGTGTTATGCCGCAAACTGAACAAAGTGACGACTCCACCGGTTGAAATTTCTTTACGCACAGCGAGTTCGCAACACGTCCAACCTTCTGCCACATGCACTGCTCGTGTTGTGATTCAAGGAGTGCTTTCCATCGTTGAATTTGTCGTCCTTCCGCATGCGTCTCATGAAATCATCCTGGGATGGAACTTTCTTTCCGCTAATCATGCGGTTGTTGACTGCGCTCGTGCTCAACTCGTTTTGTTTCCATTCAGCACGACATTCATAGATCTCCCTCGCTCACCCAAAAAGGTGATCATCGCCGCTGACGTCGTCATTTCTGCTTTTTCGGTCGCCGCGGTATCTTTTTTGTGCAACTCCACTTCTGATTCAACTGTCCTATTTATGCCGTCACAAGAATGCGCTCGTCGCCGGAACCTTGTCGTCCCGTTTGCCGTAATAACGCTTGCCGATGGCTCCCGTGCCGTGTACGTGTGCAATCCGTTCCCTTGTCCCGCTACCTTATTGCATGGCGAATGCATTGGGAGTCTTGACACTTATGATGACATCTTTCCTTTCGATGCCCATTCTGATACGACACCGATGTCCGTGGATGCTGTCACAGTTGCCACCGCGCCCTCACTACCTGACGAAGACGTTCTGTTGCGCAGCGTAGACACTGGCCTTACGCAAGACCAGCGCAATCAGCTCATTCAACTACTTGACCGTTTCCGCGCCTCTTTCGACCACGGACAACCTCCCTTGGGACGCTCGTCAGTTGTCGCTCACCATATCGACACAGGTCATCATACTCCACTTCGTCAGCGCCCCTACCGCGTCTCGCAGGCTGAGCGTGAACACGTCGATGAGATGCTGCAACGTGGTGTTATTCAGCACTCACACAGTCCTTGGGCTTCGCCAGTGGTCCTCGTGCGAAAAAAGAATGGCTCCATCAGGTTTTGCGTGGATTATTGTCGACTAAACAACATCACACGCAAGGATGTTTATCCCCTGCCACGCATTGATGACGCCTTGGATTGCCTTCAAAGTGCGGAGTTTTTCTCTTCACTGGATCTGCGCTCTGGATATTGCCAAGTGCCAATGGCTGAACCAGACCGTCCAAAAACGGCGTTTGTGACCCCTTACGGCTTATATAAATTTAATGTAATGCCCTTCGGTCTTTGCAATGCGCCTGCGACTTTTGAAAGAATGATGGACAGTGTCCTCAGGGGACTTAAATGGCACATCTGTCTTTGCTATTAAGACGACATAGTTGTATTCTCGGCGAATTTTGAAACTCATTTTTCCCGTCTGGAACAAGT